GAAAGCTTCAAAAATTCGCGGAAGGAAAAAAGACCGAAATCAATTGTTATAAGTAATTATAAGTGATATTTGCCACTTAAGATAGTATCGCGTTAAAGGAGTGAAAAAGTCATATGAACTAGAATGAATCTGATTCTGACTAGGTTTTTCAACAGCCCAGACTATCTCTTTGAAGTCTTTATGCTCTGTAGAATCCCTAGTTTTGCGTAAGCGCTCAAGCGAAGATCAAATTGAAAGAATGTAGGATGAAATAATTACATAATTTGAGAGCACATTCTTCAATTTTGAGTTGTTCAACGTATTGCCCACGCGCCGGAAAGAAAACATGTTGTAAAGTCTAGAACATCTATCTTAAAATGAGTAATTTTTGTATAGATTACTATATTAAATGATTTGCGGGCTCACAGGAACATTGGAATCTAATTTTTTTGTTTTTGCTGGAATCACTTTCGGTCTTTCAATATTCTTTGAAAAGGACAGTTAATCAGCGCTTACCCAGTTGATGTAATGTGTTTGTAGTTAGTTCATCAACGTAGGTGGTATGCCTACAAGCTAAAAATTAAAAGTCAAATATTTTTTTTTCATTAGGTGTCGGCAAATATACTGCTTCTATAAGTTATAGAAAAGGATGGGTGTTACCCACTTCGATAAAATTTTGATAATATCAGGAAGAGGTTCTTTAAGATAGAGATAATTTGCGCCAGATGAGATTTTTCAGAAGTCTCTTATTTCTTCCATTGTTTGAGCAAATTCACACTACGTAGAGCTAACGGAAAGATCTTCTCTTCCATTTCCCATCTCAGTGACAAACATTTTGTGTGAATGTTGCTTGAGAATTCTTCTCTTACGGATTCTCTCAAGGGTACTTGACGTTCTATCTATTCTATTCCAGGTTGTTGAAGATGGTTATGAGTTCTTTGCTAAACGGCAATTAGTAACGCTGTTCTCTGCGCCGAACTATTGCGGTGAATTCGACAATGCTGGTGGTATGATGAGTGTAGATGAGACGTTGATGTGCAGCTTCCAGGTTCGTGGAAATACTGTTGTCCATAATCTTTTTTGAAGAGATCTTCATGGTTTTTAGTCTCAAGAAATAATTACTTAATTTTTCAGTATTTTTACATTTACCATTTTCTGTTGTTGTT